TTTAGGGTTTAGGGTTCGTAGGTTTTTTGGCCTTTCGGCTTGAGAGCTTTAGGACCGGGATCGCGGAGACATGCAGAACCCCTTAGGACCGCTTAAAGAGCCCCATAGAGGCCCTGCCTTTAACCCTACTAGAACCCATATAGACCCAACCTCCCACGCAGTCCAAAGCCCTGTAATTACAAATCTGAAAAATCCTATAGCTCCCGCAAAAAAAGCCAGAGAGAGAAAATGCCACAGTACGAAACCCTTTAAAAATTCCTGGCACAGCAATCATAACATCCTATAGAAGCACAGAAATCAACCAGTACAACCCTATGAAAACCCTGAAACAATCATAAAACCCTATAGAGACCCGAGACAAGAAATTGTAAGAACCCATGGGAACCCTGAACCAATAAATTACAGAACCTTGTAGAAACCCTAGGACAGAACAACGATAAAACCCTATAGGCAGACACCCAAACAAAATTATGAAACCCCTCAAAATATGAATTCCCCACAGAAACCCTGAAACAAAATTCATAAAACCCAACACAAACACTAAAAAAGCTTATAAAAACCGGACAAGCGAAAAGCTATACAACCCTACAGAAAATCCTAGACAAGAAACAACAAAAAATCCTCGAACCAAGCACATATATGAAGTTATATAGTTATACACACACACACATATATATATNNATATACATATATATATATATACCTTATCGAAACCCGGCCAAAAAACTCATAATCCTGGGCCCTTCCGATGCGACCTCTCGAAGCCGCCTCTTCGACGTAGCTCGTCAGCCTTGGGCTGGCTACGTTCTTAGGATGAAACCATGGGCCACTAGTACCCTACACCCCCAATACCCTGGTTTCGGGGTTTAGGGTTTAGGGTTTAGGGGTTTAGGGTTGCGGGGCTTAGGGGTTTAGGGGTTTAGGGTTTAGAGTTTAGGGGTTTAGGGTTTAGGGTTTAGGGTTTACCATACACCCAATTTAAGGGCTGAGTCTCAGGTTGAAACCATGGGCCACTAGTATGGGCCCTTAACCCTGGGATCCTTAAACACCTACTATATACCCTATATGTAGCCCTAAGGGTCCCTAGAAAGGCCCAAGGGTCCATATTAGGGACCCATACTTCTAACCTTAGAACGTCCGCAGAAACTGCTCTCTATGGGGGGCCTTCAAAAGGCTTAGGGTTAAGGGTTTAGGGTTTAGGGTTGAGGGTTTAGGGATTAGGGTTTAGAGTTTAGGGTTGAGGGATTAGGGCTTAGGGTTGAGGGTTTAGGGCTTAGGGTTTCGGTTTGAGGGTTTAGGGTTTAGGGTTCTAAGGGATATTTGGGGGGGGCTAGTATAGGCCTGCAGAGTTAGAGAATTTGAGTAGGGTTTCAACTGGGGGTTCCTTTCAAAAGCCTCCTTTAAGGGTGTACGAGCTTAGGAAAGGGTCCGTACTCGTTGGAATCGGTTTTGGGGGCATACCACATGCAAGAATGACTTCACCTATAGTATCCATTGTAGTTCCTTTTTTGGGATACCTTATAAAATCCTTAATACAGAATTGGTTCAACCTAAAAAAAAGGAACTACAATGAAGACTGTAGGTAGGGTCCATGTTCCAAGGGAATCTAGTCATTCCGGCCCCTAGACATGAGGGTTTCGTAAAGGTTTAGGGTTGAGGGTTGAGGGTTTAGCGTTTAGGGTTTAGGCTTGAGGGTTTGAGGGCTTAGGGTTTAGGGTTTAGGGTTTAGGGTTTCGGTTTGAGGGCTTAGGGTTTAGGGTTTAGTGTAACAGAGGTTCTTTACAGTGCTATTGGTTTGTGCTTTGGGCACCCTACTGACACAGCAGGAAAGAGGCTCGGCCTTTGCCTTTGCCAGAACTCTGAATCCTAAGACCAGGGACCTCGGGTGTAGAGTTTAGGGCCTCCGGCTTGGGGCTTGGAGTTTAGGGTTTGGGGTGTAGAGTTTAGGGCTTAGGGCTGAGAGTTTAGGGTTGAGTTTAGGGTTTAGGGTTTAGGGCTTTGGGTTAGGGTTTGGGGTTTAGGGCTTCGACTTCTGGTGTAGGGGAAGGGGGTTTCTACATCCTCATTCCCTCGTTTCCCAAAGATGGCAGGATACACTATATGCCAAAGCTTCCTGCACATTGCTTCGATCCCTACAGCACGATTGGACGTTTGCTATTTTTGAAAAAGACTAGTAAAACCCACCCGGCAGAATCCATGACTCTACATACAAAACTGTCCCCGGAAACTGTAACCCACGGGACTCGGTACCTGCGCCACCGCACGTTGCCGCTCGTCGCTGCTGAGGCTGCCCTTGAGGATACAGAAGCCCTGTCGCGCGTTCAGGTCTTGGCTTCTTGGAGGTTCAGGGGACTTAGTAAGTAGGTTATAAGTAGAGTTATAAGTACCCTAACTGGCGTTGCCCCAATTATAACCCTACTTATAACCGACTTACTAAGTCCCCCTGGGCCTCCAAGTTCAGGGCTTTGGGATCCTTGGGGTCGTTGCTCGGGTTTGGGGTTCGGGGGTTTAGGGTTCAGGGGTCTAGGGTTTAGGGTTTGGGGCTTTGGGGTTTAGGGTTTAGGGGTTTAGAGTTTAGGGTTTAGGGGTTTAGAGTTTAGGGTTTAGGGGTTTAGGGTCTAGGGTTTATGCTTTAGGGTTTAGGGTTGGGGACGGGGGGTTTCAGCTTGCTAGTAAGCTGAAGAGTGGGCGTGACATACATACATACATACACACATAAATACATAGACATTCTTTCATCAGCACATATACAAAACATGTGTATGATATTCACATATGTGTGTCTACATATACATATACATATACATATATATACCGTAGTATACACGTAGCTATATGTGTACATGTGCATCTGTACTCAACACTATGTATTCCTCACTTACTTGCCTTTCAATACTGTTCCTATTCCCATCATATCGACCGCGCAGATGTGGCGCGCCGGATCTTTGGAAAATCACTCCATGCGCAGAGCAGCAAGGCGATATGGATCTATATCGCCTTTTACGGGCCTCTCTATGTTAAAGGAAACGACAGGTGGGGAGTTTAGGGTATATAGGGCTTCTACAAGGCTTCTATAAGGTATATAGACCTTCAAAAAGGCTCCTGTAACGGTAACTACCCACCTGAAATGTCCTAGACTATGCGATAAGATGGTAAGTAGTTTCAGAGCTTCCCCCTTACATGCCCTAGTCGTATGTCCCTGAAATTTCATGTAAGCCTCACAGTCCTAGCGTTCATGTACGTGAAAATACAGCAAAAGCCTACTAAACCCTAGGCCTAGGCCCTAATCCCAAAACCCAAAACCCTAAACCCTAAAGACTGAGACCGCACCTTTTCCTGGAGACGGCGGCCGATGCGCCAGTCCTTCTCGTACCATCGCAGCTGGTCCCAGTCCTGCAACATGACAAGCTGCGTGTTCTTTCAGAAAAAATCAGAGATAGCCTATAATTTTATGGTTTAGGGTTTAGGGTATTAACGCCTTATAGTTCGCCTACGTAGTCCTGCCCTATAGCCTACCGCCTTTGGCATGCTTGGCCTTATGTTTACCATTCAGGACCGACCCATTGATTAAAGAGCACATAGCAACAGTTTTGCACCCTGGGGCTTGCGACCTACAGCTCGGAGAATTGGTCGAAATGCTGAGGGGAGCCAAAGACCTTACACCCGATGAACCCGGAGCCTGATCACATGCAACCCAAAGCGCTAGTCCTAAACCCTCGACTCAGTCCAACCTCGACCTGGATACAAACCCTACACCCTGCCCCGTCTTGAGCCTGTCAATACCTGAATTGTCGGTTTAGGGCTCCAGGGTTTAGAGGCTTAGGGCCTGGGGTGTAGGGTTTAGGGGTTCTTCTTCCCCCTAAGCCTTGCAGGCTTGATGCCATAAACCTCCGCCGCTATCGCAGGTCCTCAACGTCGAAGTAGCCGGGAGTGATCTGCGCCGGTACCTGTAGCAGGACTTTCTTCAGGACTTGAGGTTCGTTGGCTCGGGCCAGCGACAATTGCATATAGGTAAGGCCTTCTTACCATGGGAAGCCCATGTATAAACCCTAAACCCTGAACCCCAAACCATTAAGAGGCTCCTCCCATTAAGGCTTTGCTTTTCGGGTCCCTCAGGCTTAGGGTTCCTTTCAATAGGTTTCGGGCTCTCAATCGAGGCAACAGGAAGAAGGAGCTGAGTTGAGGATAAAGTTTCGGGTCCTAAACCCCCAACCGTACAAACCTTAGACCCCGAACTCTACAGCCTACAGCCCCAGATGCTCCTACAAACCGTAGATCCCACCCATGCAATGGACGCCCCACGCCAAAACTTCTTCGAGAAGGCGGTTCTGTTGCTCCCATGCCTGAGGGAAGATCAGGAAAGCCTTGTTCAGCGTATTGCTTCCGCCATGCGATGAAACTCCAAGAACCCTAAACCCTAAACCCTAAACCCTAAACCCTAAACCCTAAACCCTAAACCCTAAACCAGCTCATGCCTGGTACATGATGTCTTTGCTCCAGCCTCACACCGCCCAGTATCTTCCGGAACTTCCAGTGTTCGGCGAAGCTGGCATGTCAATAAGCGGGTTTGAAGTCAAAGATGGCAGACGCTTGAACCCCATGTCTCTATGGAAGCATTCCGGAGCTTGCTTGCCGTTTAGGGTTTAGGGTTTAGGGTTTAGGGTTTAGAGTGTCAGTCGTGTGTACGACATGCCAAAATCTACAGATACAGCTAGGTCGATCGAGCAAGCTTAGGCCTTGAATCTTTAACCCTAAGCAAACGCTTAACCTTGCCCTAAACCTTAAACCCTGAGTCCAAAACTCTAAAACAACACAGCGTAACGTAGGGGCCTTAATAATTGGAATAGGGTTTTAAGGGGGGGCTCCTTATTACAAGTATAGTATAATATAACCCCAAACCCGATTCTAATTCTTAAGGCCCCTAACCCTAAACCCTAAACCCTATATTCAGCTATGAAAGCTGCGGATTCGGGCTCAGGGATGGACGAAGATTAGGCTCCCGAGCCGACGTCGAAGTAGTTTTTGCCATTAGGGCGTAGGGCTTTTAGGGTTTAGGGTTTAGGGTTTAGGGTGGGCTTTTAGTGCTTTGGGGGGTTTTGGGGGTTTTTGGGTTTCGGGCTTTTCGGGTTGTAGGGCTTTTCGCTTTAGGGTAGAGAGCTTTCGGGTTTTAGGGTTTAGTTAGGATTTTAGGGCTTAGGGTTTAGGGCTTTTAGGGCTTGAGGGTTGTGGGGTTTAAGGTTTAAGGCTGTTAGGGCTTGAGGGTCGTGGGGTTTAAGGCTTAAGGCTGTTAGGGCTTTCTGGTTTCTGGGTTTAGGGCTTTAGGGCTTTACGGCTTAGGGCTTTAAGGCTTTACGGTTTTAGGGCCCCGACAGGGAACTCCCTGGCCAGCCTCAGGAAGGGATGGGACCTCTTCGCCCGTCAGGCCAGTCAAAGAATCGACCTGCTTAGTTATAACTGTAACCGTTGCAGTTTAGAGTTTAGGGTTCAGCGTTTAGGGACGGTAACCCATCTCAGAACGTCCGCATATCTACCATTTTATGAAATTAGACCCTCCTTTTCATGGTTTTTGGGACCAGAATTCCGCAATAGTAGTGTATGGACCCTCTTGGTAAGGTTTTTAGTAGGGTAACCATAGCTGTAACCCATATAGGGGGACTTATCACTCCCACTTAAAGCTACCCATAAACCTCCATGTAGGGCTTATAGGGCTTGGGGGTTGGGTTTTTAAGGTTTAGGGTTTGGGGCTGAGGGCTTGGGGTGTTTAGGGTTTGGGGTCTAGGGTTTCAGGTTTAACATTTCGGGCTTAGGGCCTAGGGCTTGTCTACCTATGTAGCTGCCTATACCTACTTACCCACCTACCTGTCTATCTACCTATCTGTCTATCCATCTATCAATCTGACTGTCTATCTAAGAATGGATCCATCCTACTTGATTCTTCATTCACATGTTCGTTTACTTATTTGACCTATATGTAGCAAGACGTCACGGCCAGTGCGGAAGATCCCACCATGTCGAACTCCTGAATGTCCTACTTTCAAGGTTCTAGCTTTCTTCTGTGGGGTTGAGGGTTTCGGGTGTCGGGGTGTCCGCCTTAGTGCTTAAAACAGTTTGGGGTTTAGGGCTTCGGGCTTCGGGGTCGGGGCTTACGGGGTCTAGGGCTTCAGGCTTGGATTTCGGGTTTCAGGGCTTGGGACACCCGAGACCTCAAGAACGAAATCCTGCCCTGCCTTGAAAGCCCGACGCTGAACCGCGAATCCCACGCTCCCGAAACTCTGCAAGCTTGAAGCCTTCAGCTGTGAACCTCGAGACCACCCTGTATCCCTGGACCCTGAACCCAGACCCTAAACAACTAAAAGCCCCAACAAAAATCCCAAATCCCCACCCGCCACCCCGAATCCTCAAGCCTCACAATCCTGACCCTAAATAGCCCCGTGCAACGAAACCTAAGCCCATAAACAGCCCCCAGGCCTTGCGAACTGCAAGGACGACCTCATTGACCTCCTTGTACTTTCCGAGGTTGTCCCGGTTCTCATGGATCTCCTCAAACGGTTCTAGAATCGGTTCTGGAAGGTTCTATAAGGGTTCTTCGAAGGCTCAAGGAGTCTTGGAACTAGGGTTCTTCTAAGTTTCAGCCGTACTGATTCTAGTGTTCAGGGCTTAGGACTAAGGATGTCAAGCAGTGCGGGATTTATGCATGATGGTTCGGGGGTTTGCTTCCTCTAGCAGGAGTTCGAATTTGATCATGCGGACCTAGACGTTGAGCCATCATTCTGCGGGTTGCTTGAGGGGTTGAGGCTTTGATGTTTTGGGTTCAATCATGGGCCCTGTGCTTGCTGAACGGGAACAGTTCGTCTACTAGCAGAGCGACCTGAAAAAAGATTCAATTTTTCTGACAACCCACTCTTCCATAAAAGCCATGGAAGGGACCACAAAACCCCTAGAAGGTATCTCTGACTTAGCATTTCGATGCCCAACCCCCCGTCCGAAGGGTACAGGCCGCAATCATTTAAACTCGAAGGGCGGCACGGTTTAGGGTTTAGGGTTCAACAGTGATCCGTGGTGTATAACCTACAGTCATCGGAAAGTCTGTTATTGAGTCTAAACCCTAGAACCCAAACCCGCAATCCGCTTTGCAAGCGTCCTAATTAGCCCCAAACTATCAACGCTGCACAAACCTTCAGTGATATACCTTCATATCCTAAAGTAAGATACAACATAATATCATGCCATAATATGGTATAATATCACATAAAATAACAAAACGTAGTATGACATGTTTGCTCTGAGGCAGATGTCCTCAACCGCTCGTACCAACGAAGGCTCTGCGAGGACCTGTACGATTGATTGACATGGTTCTGCTGCTTACTTTCAACACTATAGCTGCTTGAATTTCCTTAGCAGCTTAGGGTCTAGGGCTTGATGTTTTGTGCCATTTTGACAATGGCTTCATCAACAATTACGAAAGCCGACAGCAGATCGGGGGGGTGAAGTCCTCGGGCGTTCGCGGGTGCGTTTGGCTTCTAAGCCCACCCCTACACAACCCTATGGAATCCCATCTCGGACCCCATAAGACCCGCACGTGCTAGACAAAGACGCACAAGAAGGGCACTCTTCAGCTTTTGGGCTGTAAGACCCACGATCGTGTGCACGCGGAGGCCTACCTCTGTTGCAGGGTCTGGCCTGATTTCCCTTCACCTTTTGCATACTAAAGCATGATATCCCATACTGCATTACGGTCATAAGTATGCAATGCATCATGATAAAGTAAATTGTATCTCGAGGTGAGGCACATGTGGTTGAGAAACTGGTCAGTCAGAGCCACAACGGATACCTGCCTCGGGAGGCGGAGAAAAAGTGTGCTGCGCCATTATGCAATTTAGACTTTAGGGGTTAGCGCGAGTTAAGCAGGCCGAGCAGCGTATGATTGCAATATCAAGCTTGGAACTGAACGGACGCATCAGAGCCGGAATCCCCCGACGAACTAGTGAGACAAGTCAGCCGGCATAATTCCCCACACCACGACTGCTTCGGATGATGCTGATTAGGCTAAGTACAGCAATTCGGCATTGCAAACTCACTGCAAGCATCTCTAAGGAAGCTTGCTCAAGCAAGCCCGCACAGCGATGTTCGGCACCCTGTGATACCACACCCGACTCTCAGTTCACAACGGCATATGCATCCGCGGTTGGTAGCATGAGCTGCTTCACATCAGCATGTCCGTCACCGGGCGGTAGCATGAGAAGACCAGGCTCGCAAGCAGCAGCCTGATCTCGCCGGGCTCTTGCGGTCGATCTCCTTCCTGTAAAAAGGAAGGTCCACGTCTCGAAGTCCACGCTTCCCTGCCTCCCACAACTCGATGCAGGCACGTTTCATCCCGGACATGACGAGGACAACCTTGTTGTCATCAAAGGCCTCGTCGACGTAAGTCGACGTACTGAACCCAAAACAAAAATCCCTAAACAGAAAGCCCGAAACCTTACCCAAACCCTAAACCCCAAACCCCTAAACCGGAAGTCCTTAAACCCTCAACCCCAAGCCCGAAAAGTCCTAGAACCCAAAAACGCCCCATTAAAAGCCGAAACCCCAAAATCCCCCGCCCTCGCCCCCCCCCAAAAAAAAAAAAAAA